TTGAGGCGAGGGTGGCGATAGGGAAAGGGGAGCCCGGCCGCGTGAGGCGACCCCAGGAGCCAAAAGCATTTGCTGGGCACGTCGGCTTTCAGGAAAGCTCGGGTGGGTCTGCGCCCGGTTGGTACAAGGAAGGGGCTCTTCTTCCTTCCTTCCTCTCCCACCCACCGAAACTCCCAGGTCTGTGTGAGTGGCCGGGCGGAGAGGAATTTGCCCCGGGTTGATTCGCCTCCGGGGAGGGTAGTGGGGGGGGTGTCGAGGAAACGGGGGGAACCGCGAAGTTGTGCGTAGTCACGGCCTGGGGGCGTTGGGAAATTCACTTGGAATTGGGTACGTGCGTCCTGTTCTACCGCTGGGTTTAAACTGGCCCTGCTTCCTGATAACAGCCTTAGAGAAAGAGATCTTATTTTGAGGGTATGTATGTACGTATTTGTGTGTGTGTGTGTATCGATCTATATCTGTCTATCAATTTAGGTGTCTTTTTAAAAAGCAGATTTTTAGTTCCTGGAGAAAAATCTGCCGCCAGTCGCTGAATTTAATAGGCCTCTCCCTCCCCTCACCGGGCCTTAAAGGATAATGTCCATCTTTTTCTCTTGAATTCCCCTTTAGCCCTGCAACAATATGACACCACTTTTCCTCTGTTTTTAACCCCTCAGGGACAGATATCCAGAATGGGAGTCGAAGGTGGCATGAAGTGTGTCAAGTTCCTGGTTTTTTTCTTCAATTTCATCTTCTGGGTAAGTTTATTGGAGACCTTAGTTCCTGAAAAAAATAGTGAAGTCAGAATTCCTTTTTCCCACCAAAATACTGAAGTACTGTATGTTTGTTGCTGCTAATCCCTGTTTGGCCAGGAAGCTGTTTAATTTGCCTATAACAAGTGGCTTGAATTCTGATCCTTTCCTCCTTTTCTTGATGTTTTGCTTGATTGTATTCCAGAGGGCCGTTTGCCTTAAGTAACAGGATTTTCTTAAGTATCCGCATAAATTTCTTAGATTTATTGTTCAGAGTGGTGTGCCTTTGCTGAGTTAGGCTAGATTTTTTTGTTTTTGTTTTTGCTTATCTCTAGGACTTCTTGTGTAGATGATAACATCTGAGGCACTTGTCTTTATGCTTCCTGTATTAAGCTTCTCAAAATAGTAAATGTAGTGCTTTCACCTTGCAGAACTTGAGGTACTGTAACTCTTTGGTTCACAAACTGATTAAATACTTGTAATGTTAACTCCTTCCCCTTGTCAGGATGATTCAGGAGGAGGCTGATGGGTAGGATGCTGGTGTTACTGTTCATGGAGAGTTAGTATAAACTTTTGAATCTACCTTGATCATTCAATATGTCTAGAAAAAGTTGCTTCCGTTTGACTCACAAGGGTATTGCTAGCCATTTACTTCTCGTCATTAGTATGGTATGTGTGGCAACCACTTAACTATTTATTGTCAACCTAATGCAAATTTAGCCAACTTTTGTAAATTCTGTAGCAATGGCTCAAAGACGTTAGAGAAGTGGAAGGATAAACCCACAACTGAACTGACAGTTTGGAGACAACTTCACTTTGGTCTTGGGTAAGGAGGTTGCCAAATATAACCAGTGTAGTGAGAATACTGACGTTCTGGGCCTCATTTGCTTCCAGCTAGACCACCATGTTGATCCCTTCCTACAGATGTTGTAGCGGGGGGGCGGCGGCTTCAGAGTCTTAATGTGGATTCCTAATGACGTAATTCAGTCACACATAATTCTGTGAAGATAACATATGCCTTGTTACTCAAGAACGGAAGCAAACTTGGTTTCTTTGTTTCCACCCACCAACGCTCTGACAAATTCTGTGTGGGTCAAAGCAGCAGACAAACCTCAAGTCTGAGGGAGGTGCCATGCCCCCCCCCATCTTGAAGCACTCTTCGCCTGAGCGGGGGAAGGAATCCTACAACCCCAGACACTGATTGGAGATTCCACAGTTGATCCTTTCCTGCTTTTCACCAGCACTTCCTGGAGCTCCTGGAAGTGCCCAGTGTGAGAACTTCTTCCTCCAGCCTCTCCCCTTGTAGAGGGAATGAGGCAAAGAAGCAAAGCCTGCTTCCTGGTTGAAGTGCTGGAGAACTTCTTCCTCCAGCCTCTCCCCTTGTAAAGGGTATGAGGCAAAGAACCTGCTTCCTGGTTGAAGTGCTGGGTAACAAAGCTCCACCTATCACTCTAGCCAGGAGCCCGACAGGTCCTTGGGAATGAGGGCTTCTTAAGAAGGATGGAGGTGGGTGAGTGAGTGAAGGGTTTCTGTCTACAGGTTTATAGAATGGAAGCTGAGGGCCAGGGTGGCTGGATTCTTGATCTCCAAAGGGATCAATCACAGGACCTCCTCTGTCCATTCCTACTGCAGTGACTAATCCCAGAATTGTTTTACCCACCTATATTTGCCATCATAATCAAGCTGACTGGAATAGCCAGTGTATGGCTCACTCGCCTTCCTTACGATAGGCAGAGTAAACACGGCTCCACAAACTGGTGGATAGTTCATTGGTTTTTGTTCTCTGACTGCGGAGACAGAGGTTGGGAATTCAATTCCCCCACTGTGTGCCTCCTCGACAGGGGCTGGACTCGATGATCTCTAGGGTCCCTCCCTTCCTGCTCTGCAGTTGTAGGATGATGCTGATTTTTATGAATCTCTCATCATCAAGTTCTATTACAATTAATCCTACTTGTACCCTTGTCTCTCCCTTTTTGGGAGGTGCTGTAATGGGGGGGGGCAGGTGTCACCAAAGATCCTTTCTCCACCAGTGTAGCATTGTTGTCACTTATGCCCCCAAAGCTGTTTTTGAGGTCTCTGACCCCAATTACATTTGCCTGCCCCAAAATGATTTTCCATGGCATAAATAAATACACAGGTAAATGAAGACTGCTGCTCTTGGAAACCTCCAGCAATAGCCACCCACCTTTTAAATGTTGCAGTGGCTCTCTACAGTTTCCAGCCTCTAAAAGTATCCATTTTCTTCAAAGCCTAAAGTGGACTTCCAGAAGCATCCAGTTTTTGTTGTGTGTGTGCACGTGCGTGTGTGTATGCAGTTTCCCCATATTTGGGGAATCACTGAGGTAGGAAAAACTGTCTTTCAGACCCTCTGAAGTTATCCAGTCCCTACTCTTAAAATAGGACCAGTGAATAGCAGTGTTTGGTTTTGTCCACTGCACTGGAAAATGATTCCTCCCAAGAGTGTCTTACAGGCCGTGTCAGACTCCTCCCATCATTATCAGCAAGGTAATGCCTCAGCCCCTTTTTGATAGGGAAAACTGGGCAGATGGTAACTAACCCACTGATCTCCTCAATAGAGAAGAGTCATTCTGCTTAGAATAGATAAGTGGAAGAAACTATTTTTCAGAATGTGACTGAACTTGGCCCTTTTACATATTTAAGTCAAAGTGACGCTTTGCACCGGGTTGTGATCTCACTTGTATTCTTCCACATGCAGCTTCCTCAGTTACCTTTTTAAAAATTACAGCTCTGGTATTATATATAGGTAAGATGGCAGGCAGGCTAAACAAAAATACGTACCTTTCTTTGTGGGTGTTTCATCTGCCAACCATAAAAGAGCCAAGTTAGCCCTCTGTTCACTCTCTCCATTTGTTCTTGTTGTTTAGTTGTTAAGTCATGTCTGACTCTTTGTGACCCCATGGACCAAAGCACACCAGGCCCTCCATTAATGTGATTCAAATGGTAAATACAGCTCGGTGACAACAACCCTGGGACTTAAGTCACCTGGCTATGAATGGGCAGATGTATACTGTATGTGATCCTGATGAAGATGGAGAATCTAAGTTTCCATCTGGGCTCCTGAATTTGAAATAGTTTATAGTAATATATTACTCTGGTCCAAGTTTACATATTAAAAACATGAACTTAAACAAAAATCAATTATTTTAATGGCATAGCTGCAGTTCTTCAGATTTTTATGGATGCACCCATTCACCTTTTGGTGACATCAACTTGTGGATAATAATATCAAAACTCTGCAAAACAATGAATATATTCTGTAGAAACCTTGACTGTGTGGGAGTTCTTTCTGTTAATATTTCATAAGAAATTGGAGGTCTCCTTTTATTTATTTTATTTATTTAGATTTATACCCCACCCATTTACTGAGCATGCCACTACTCTGGGTGGCTTTCAAAATATTATAAAACATATAGCTAAAATATTTAAACCATATAAAACACATTAAAAGAAAATAAACGCTATCTATAGTTAGATCGTAGGAATCGTACTGGATATATATGATTCATAATTTTTTGTGCCAGATTTGTGCTATTTGTTACAGGAAGGTATTTGTTTTGACCTATTTGGTTAGAACTAAAAAAAAACAAATAATCCTGCTTTTCTCTTGAAATTTCATTGCCATATGTAGGAACCTGCATTGTAAAGGTAGGCTTTAAAAGTACAGGTTTTAAACTGTAAAAAAGACATATATATATCCGATTCCGCATCGACTTCAAAGTGTTGATGCTCACGTATAAAGGCCTAAACGGCTTGGGGCCTCGATACTTGGCGGAACGCCTTCTACCACCAAGATCTACCTGTGTCACTCGCGCGAGTCAGGAGGTGAGGCTGAGGAGCCTAACGCCGAGGGAGGCCCGGAAAGAAAAGACAAGAAATCGGGCCTTCTCGGCGGTGGCTCCTCGCCTCTGGAATAACCTTCCCCCTGACATTCGCGCGGCTCCCTCGCTGGGTATTTTAAAAAAACAATTAAAAACACTGATGTTTCGGCAGGTCTTCCCCTCAACCAATTCCTGATTTTCCCTCTTTTTTCCTCTCTTAGTGTTTGGTCCATCTTGTCCAAAGTTTGTCCCCTTTTAAAAATTGTTTTAATTATATTGTATCACGCTTGTTGTAAGCCATCTAGAGTGGTCTTAAGTGACTAGATAGGTGGGATATAAATAAAATAAATAAATAAATAAAAAAAATATATAGACACTCCGAGAAACCCAAGATTATCAGTTTCCTGTGTGGTGTGGAAGTTTATCCCCACCTCCCAGTGTGATTGCATTGCAATATTATCAGGAAGTAACTGAAAATGTGGTTTTGCCTCTTTTCCATCTCTGCGTAGAATGTAATGGAACATCTGTATAAGAGGAAGTGATGTCATGCCCTTATGGAGCCATTTTGTACATTTTTAACATTTTTTTGGCCACATATGGCTTTACTGCTCCTGTGCTCTATGTTCCCCCAAACACATTAATAAGAAATAGTCTGTGCAGGCCAAGCACAAAAGTAGCTTCTGTTTGTTTCCTAGGGTGCTCTTTTATTTTAACGATACCAAAAAGTAACCCTGGGGTACATTAAATACTAACAAACCTTTTATGGGTAATGTTTTATAGATTAGAGCTGGATCTTTCAGAGCAGTGTCTTCCTCTGGTAACTATGTAAAAGAAAGAGGGGGGTGTAAGCAAGGACTGAAATAATGCTCATTTACTGGAAGTCAGCTAAAGTATTCATTCACATAAAATCCAGCTCCGTAGGGATCACTTGGAGTAGCTGCCTCGCTACAACAGGTAGTTTACAGTATCACTTTGAGTGTTCAAGATTATTTCTTGTACAGTACTTTATCTTTTTTTTTTCATCAGTAGAAAGAAAGTCCTGTCACACTATAACTTGGGTTACTTTATATCTGTCTCACCACATTACAACTGTATCTCTTGCCCTGCCTGCTTTTCTAGCAACTCTTTGAAAGCATTTATGCCCTCCTATGTATTTGGGATGAAAGGGGATAGATAGATAGATAGATAGACCTGGCAATCAAAGCAGACAGACAGACCGACCGACCGACCGACCTGGCAATCAAAAGTAACTCTTTATGTCTCTGGCAAAGTAGGCTGCAGCTCATGAAGGCTTATGCCACAATAACTGCATTAGTAATTAAAGATGCCCCAAAATCCAGCCACCTCTGAACTCCCCAATGTTTGTGGAGGGGCGGCGGGGTGTGTGTGTTGAAAAACAACTTGGTATTGATTGTGAAAGCAATCCCAGTTGTGTTCATAGTATAAAAATTATACAGTTTAATGCCCAGCCTGATGTTGCCTGAATCTGAGGAAAGTGAAGGAGCATAAAGCTTTAGCTGGAAGTCTTTTGAGGCAAAGATTAAGCAGTTCCCACTTCCAGGGGCAGTTGCTGCTCTAGTAAAACCTTTCAAAGGTGTTGTGTCTATGATTATTTCCAGGTTGTGTCTTTCTTCACAGAATGAGTGGGATGTGTGCGCAAGCGGAGAATACTGCAAAATGACATCAAGCAATGGGAGTACTTGGTGCTATCCTTCGTTCTCTTGGTGATAGTTGCCAGTCCCATTAAACAGCTAGATAAATGGCAGTGCACTGGAAGTGAAGAGAGAGAGAGAGGAAGGGTTCTCTGTTCTGTGGCTGGAAGCAACCCTATAAATCTTTTCTTTCTACGGCTGCCATCAAAGAGCAGTAACAGTTCTTAAATCAATTTACTCTTCTCCTCCCTGTCCATGTGGGGTAAACAAAACTTTTCCCTTGGCCTGGACACTCAAGGAAAGAATGGACGTATATAACTGAAGCACTCCTGTAAGGCAAACTGGCTGTGACCCTTCTTGTGGTTGACCCTAGCCTTCCTGCTCCTTGTAGGTGCCCTTTTTGTGTGAAGTCTCTCAAACCCTTAACAAGAGGTTGGAAGACAGTTTGCTCCACGAAAAAGAAACGAATGAAGCTGTTGTGAGCAATCATGTTAAAAAGAAAGTTTTATAGTTTTCTCTTTGGGTTGCCTTCCTGTTCCACCCACTTACAAGCACTGGAATTCATCTCACCCTTGAATTGGCTCAATACAGAGAGCTACTGGACTACCTGCCCTTTCTCATTTTACATCCATCAGGAGTAGCAGAGGTGGTTATAGGTCTCTCTCTCTCTACTGACCTGTCTTTCAAGGCTAACTTTCTGAGGAAGCACTATATGCCACCTGGACATAGGCTGGGTCTCTTTGCCTTGGGTGGTTCCACACCCTGCTATGATAGAGCAAGGTAAATACTGACTCCAAGGAGCACACAAACTGTTTGGGAACTGGGTGGTGAGACAGGCTGGATAGGCAAAGTGGTTCTGTGATCTGGAAGGGAAATGCCACCCATTGGCCTCATGTCTGCCACTTTGCCTTGTCAGTTGTGAGAGCTTTACGTAAGTTCCAGGGGTCACCACCATTTATCATGGTCAGCCTTGACTTCAGGAGTGCCTCTCCCTAGCAGATAAACATAACTGGCCATAGACTAACTCTTACCTTTTAAAGTTTTTTTTTTTTTGCAACAGCTGGCATTCTTCAGCTTTCTGTCTCTTTTCTCATTGTCTGCATCCCAAATTGTCATTTTTTAAGTAGCTGTGAGACACTTAATTCTAGCGCATGTGTGTCCATATGAAGAAGCAGCCATGTACTCCATCATCTGCTGTTTTATACACTGTGGGGAGGGGGGTTTCAGTTAATAACTGTAATTAGCATGTAATTAGCGGTTAGTAATTGTAATAACTTTTAATTATGGTAAATTGTTGCCACAACTGCATTATATTTGGGTTTTTTTTTTAATAATCAAAAGAACAAGTGTACATTTAAATCCATATGACTAGGGCAGCTCCGGCTACATGCAAAAAACACATTTGCTGGTTCTCTTCCGTCTCCTTCATATATACCTGTTCTCATCATATTGCTGAATTTCCTTGAAGTGGAGCTCTATAAGGGATGTAACCAGATCCTTTGTGAGATTAACCGAGCCCCTCCCCGCCCCACTCCCTACTAAAAGCAGCTCATGGTCAGCTTACTTCTTGTGTCACTGACTTTGGAAGCTATTTAAGAGCAAACTTCCTGTAAAGTAAATGAATACATGAGCTGGGAGCAGAGAAAGCATTTTATTGCCTAGTATTGTGTAGATTAGGGGAGGGCAGGCATTGAGGCAGAGAGGGAGGGAGGGCATGCGTTCTCTTGCCACGTGTGTGAAATGTTTATTGGATTGTTCATGTCTCTTGGGAGCACTAACCATTTTAAGTAGGAAACATTTGAAATAAAGTTTCACCATGTTAAGACAGAAGGCTTTTTTGAACACCCCTGCCTTATTGATTAGTTATTTAAAACAGTTTTGTACCACTGTTCCAGAGGAAGCCTTTGCCTTCAGTTTTTTTTAAACATCCTGGAAACAACATCTGGACACTAGAAGATAGAGACAAGTAGATTTTTTAAAATTAATTCGAGTCCCAGCCAGAGTAGATTCATGAAATCAATTGCTGAATAGTGATAGAATACTTGTGTAAAGCTTATTGAGTCAGTCTACTTTAGTTTTGATAACCAGTGACATAATGCTTGAGGATGGTCAAATGTGAAGGATGTTTTTGGTTTTTTATAAAGAAATGTCTATCAATGATGAGGCTTTAAGTGGATCCCCCCCCCACACAAGTTTGGTGTTCAATTGAACTAGGGGCTAGCTTGAGACACTTTGCCGTCTGAAATGGAACAGCAAATTGTGTTCTCCAAAAGTCAAGATACAGTACCCAGTACTATTGATTATTTTAAAACAGAACAGTCTCACAAACACCTCTCCACGTTCATTGCAGTACAGATGCTGTCACAATAATGAATAATATGCTGCCATTCCATGATGATCAAAATTTGCTTCCTGGAGCAACCATCTTCCTCTGCTTATTGGTAGCACCAGCCCTGATTAAAATATGAGTGATGCTCATGATTATAATGTGGTTCCAATCCTTGATATCTTCCTGTCTTATTTTGCCCCAATGTTATGATGAATGGACCAACAGCCCCAATTTAATTTGCCCAATTCAACAGGTAGCTAATCCAGACTTGATATTTACTTCTTCCAAGAAGACAAGTCTGAAATGCCTTCATAATTCAAGTAGATGCAGTTCAACTGTTATTGAAAGTGACACTGGCTGACAACCAGTAGTAAATTGCAACTATAGTAGGCCAATTGAATCTGGGAATTTGGTGAACCATTTCCTCCCTAAGTTTCACTGATGCAGTGAGCCTCCTGTAGCTGCGACTTACTACTGGATTTCTGCCATAGCGTATCCCCTTTCTTCTTGTTGTAAGAGATGGATCATGAACACTTGAGTTTAAGGCATTCTGGTATTTGCAAATCTGTGTCAGGGTAGAGTGTGCTCAGCAAAGGAAGCACCACAGCAGAGCATTTTAGGAAAGCCAAGCATCCCTTAATCCCTTAAGGAATGTGTTGCCAAAATGGCTGCTAACATGCCAGTTATAATGATAGTTGAGCCAGTGTAGACTTCAGGTGGGATGTTTATAATACACACTGGCTCTTCAGCTGGTAGTGTAGGTCATCTATGAGATTTCCTGTACCTGCTATCATTCTCAGGTCAAGAAACAAAAGATAAGACTGCCAGGTAATTTTAAGATGGCTTTTCTTTTTTTCACATAACCAGGGGGAATTTCAGGTTAGGAGTTTTACCCAGACAGCTGCAACTGGAAGTTGTTGATCCCATTTTACCCTATACATCCAATTGCTTAAGCCAAAGTGTGGCCCAGTCACAGAGAATTAATCAGAAGGCCAGGTGATATAGTGGTTAGAGTGTTGAGTTGAGATTCCAGGTGCAGTTCCCACTGAGCCATGAAACTCACTGGGTGGCATTTTGCCAGTCCCACTATCTTGGCTTGTCCTATTTCAGATGACTGTTTTGAGAATAAAGGGTAGGGGCCGGTGTGCCACTTTGAGCATATTGGAGGAAAGATAGAATAAAAATGTTAATACTGTAATAATTATGATATGCAAGTTGCCACACTCATGAGAAGACTTCCTTTCTAGGTGTCTTGCTGTATAGCATGAGGATAAGAGAATTTTTTTTTACTGTTTGCATGTTTTCTTAAATGCAACTAACTCAATCAGGCTCATAGGCATAATGCTTTGGTTCATCACACAAGGCTGATCCTCTAGATCACTGGTTCTTAACCTTGGGTTACTCAGGAGTTTTGGACTGCAACTCCCAGAAGCCTTCACCACCAACTGTGCTGGCTGGGGTTTCTGGGAGTTGCAGTTAGGCAAAATCCTTTGGTTCATCACACAAGACCACTGCTCTAGATTCACCTCTCCCCATCCTTGCAGTACTAATGACTGGTTCATTTGTTTCTCTTGCACAGCTTTGTGGCATTGCGCTGATTGCCTTGGGGATCTATGTGCAGATTGAGCTCAGGAAAACACTGGTGACAACCTCTGCCTCTGCTTCCGGGGCCCCGATCGTCATCCTGGTTGTGGGCATCATAGTTTTCTTCATCTCCTTCTTTGGTTGCTGTGGAGCTATGAAAGAGAACTACTGCATGGTCACCACGGTGAGTTGGGCAATGGAGTCAAAAGAGCAGGGAGCTGCTAAATGGACCTTGGCAGGATGGACAGGCAAAGTTAGAGTCAAAGAGAGAACCAAACTGGTATAGCAGATTGATCCAGATCCAGCACCTAACATTTCATCCAACCCAGGCACTTCAGCTATGGCACACAGTCCTATTCTGTTTCTGTAACTTAGGAAATATTAATAATAAATTGAGTGCCCCAAACAGATGTTAGGCTTTGTGCTTCTGGTGTGTTTTGGCCTTCTCAGAAATGTGGCCATGCATGGGCACATTTATTTATTGTTGTTGATGGTGGTGGAATCAAGATGGAACCTGTGATTTCCACAGAGTGGAGTCTGGGGTTTTTTTGGGGGGGGGGAGTTTCTCTGACAATATTGAGAACCCCACATCTTGGGAGCACCACATCTGGCCAGTGGTGGCTAGTCTATCAGGCCATTTGCAGCATATTCCAACCTCATTCCCAACCACTTCATTCCAGCCTCTCTTCTTACCAGAGATGGGATTGAGGATCTGGCTGGTGTTCCCCTCCTGCTGAATTCAACAGCCTCATCTTCTATGTAGGTGTATGAGTGTCAGTTTATGCATGAGGGAGAGAAAGAGAGGGAGAACAGGAAAGGCATCAGCAGGTGGTGGCAGTAACCTAACACCCTTGTCTTCCCCCATCATGTCTTCTGCCTTTGATAGGGATAGCCACAGTGGCTGCCAGCTGCCACTGCATCTAGCAAAGAAAAACTCTGGCTGTTGGGAATCTGAGTCATCCCACCCTGCTGGGATATCCACCACAACTGCCCATGCCTTTGGGCCTCTTATCACAAGAGTAAAGACTAGGTACAGAACTCAACACAGAGGGCAAGACTATTGAGTTCAGCAGGAGGGGAAGACAGCCAGAGCCCCAATTCCTTCTCTGGTAAGAAGAGAAGCAGGAATGATTTGGCTGGGAATGAGGTTGGAAAACACCACTGAGGAATATCGATGACCCCAAGACTGTGGGAGCAGAATAGAGACTATGAACTGGGGAATTTGGTGGATTTGGGGTGGGGTGGAGGAATATGCAATAGTGCTTTGATGCTATGAGATGTGAGGGTGAGGAAAGGATGAGTCAAAAGAGCCCATGTAGTGCATGCTAGCCTTTGAGGGGAGGGGGGTAGTTGCTATATTCTGTTTATGGGCAGGTCTTAATAGGATGCTGAAACTGAAGAGGAGTATTTGAGCAAGATGGTGTGTTCAGGGCCAGGGCTGTTGCTCGAACAAGGGCAGCTTTTGGTTTTGGCAAGTAGGACCTGTGTGTCAGAGTGGCCATAGATTCTTCTGCTCCTTAACCCACATCACCCAAGTCAAAGGGGAGTACCTAGAGCTTGGGGTTGTTGGGCTCTCCTCGGCATTAAACGCTTCATTTCATCTTACAGTTTGCTGTCTTGCTGACGCTCATCTTCCTGCTGGAGATTGCCGCTGCCATTGCTGGCTATGTCTTCAAGGATAAGGTAAGCGATGGATCGTGAGGTTCTGTGGTTCTTGCCTTGGCAGTCTTGCTGATAAGGAGATCTCTAGGTTGACCCTTACATTGGTGGCCAGCATGATGGTTAGAGAAGCCATCAATCAGCTGGCTTTGTACTCGCAAAAGGTTGGCCTTCCTCAGCGATGCTTATTTATTTGTGTTAGGTCCTGTATAAACTCATTGCCTGTTTTCCCCCCCTCAGGTCAGAGCAGTGCTTGAAACAGAAATCAAGGAAGAAATGCGGGTCTACGGAAATGACACAGACGTTACCCACATTCTGGATGACTTGCAGGAAAAAGTGAGTGAAACATAAGGGGTTGTGCTTCCTTTATTAGATTGTTTGCTTTGTGGTACCAGCAGTGGTGGCAATGGGTAAGGTATCATTCCTGTACAATTATCCATCCTGTTATTCTGAGTTTGGGAATAATCAAATGAGAGCCAGGACTCAAAAGAACACCTTCAAAAATGCTCAAGGTCTTCTGTATGCTTTGGTGGGGCTTTTGTTCCTCAGCAGACCCCACACTGTCCCGTTTTAGCTTGCCAAGTGCTTTTGAAAATGCCTCCAGTTCAAAAAGTCATATTTGGACCACATAATAGTTAATTTTTTGTGTGTCCCACCCATCACCTGCAGAACACGGGCTCCTCTTTCATTTTATCTTCAGTTACTCCTGCTGCAAGAAGGCAACTTGTCCAAGATCATGCAGGCAAACTGCTTCCCTCCCAGTTGTTTTGGACCACCAGTCCTGGCAGTCCCTCACCATTGGCAGTGTAGGGTGAAGCTTCTAGGAGTTTGTAATCTCCGAGTTATCTTCTTCAGCTTTACCTGCTACACCACTCAAGCAGTCAAGGATTAGCAACACCTTACTAGCTCAGAGTGGGGACTGGCTTAACCCAGCCTCTTGTATCTAACAACAGCAAGACAGATATATCTGGGAAGCCTACAACAGGGCAATCAGGGTAATGCCACTGCTTGTCCCAGGGTCAGGGATATGATGTAGAAAGGTTTCTATGGATAGTTGTCCACAGAAGAATGCTTTCTACTACTTTTTACCTCTTGGTTGCAGGACATTCTATGAATCATGTGTTGCATGAAGCTGTCTTTCCCTGTCTGTCCTGTCCAGTTCCTTCCACCTTAATCCACTACACCTTCTTCCAGAGAAATATCCTTAATATTCATCCCTCAGCAGAGCAATATGAACTGTGTTCATGAAGTGTATTGGAATCTCACCAAGGTCCATTCACTTGCTGGGTAGTTTGCCATGGCTGGTCTCTGTTTCCTCTCTATAGAATGGGAATAATAATGGGATTGCTGTGCAGAATATTTGTAGGGGTGTGTGTGT